AGTCATGGCAATCCAATTAAAAAATGGGCAAAGAAGGTAAGTGTGGTAGCTCATGATTGTAATCCCAGCACTCTAGGAAGCTGAGGCAGGAGGATTGCAAGTTCAAACCCAGCCTGGGAATTTAGTGAGACCTTGTCTCAAAAAGGGAAGGGGCTAGGGATGCAAAGGCCCTGGATTCAATCTCCAGTGGTACAAAAAAAAAAAAAAAGTGCTAAAGTGCTTGTCTAGTGTGCATGAGGCTCTGGCTTCACAAATGAGTAAATAAGTAAATAATTAAATAAAGTGAAGACTATATATTCTCTAATCCTGTCATTGTGTGCACTACTCCATGAAAATTTTCAGTAGAGAATAAGGGTAGTGGAATGGCATATTTTGTGAGGTACTTAAGGGCAAGAAGTGGTATCTTTTGTGTCATTAGTTTGCTTAATACAATGTCTGTCACCAGCTGTTGTTGAGATTTTCGGTGAGAATGGTTTGAGATTCAGAAGACCCAGATTTGAATACAATTGTTAGTACTGACTGAGCAACTGAGGAAGCCTGCTTGAAAGCATCTTAGGCTCCCCATCTGCAAAAAGCTGGAATGAGCCTGGGATTTAGCTCCGTGGCACTGCACCTGCCTCGAAAGCACAAGGTCCTGAGTTCGATCCCCAGTACCAAAAAAAAAAAAAAAAAGCTGGAATGAGGGGCCGGGGATTTAGCTCAAGTGGCACCACACCTGCCTCGAAAGTGCAAGGGCCTGAGGTCGATCCCTGACACCAAAAAAAAAAAAAAAAAAGCTGGAATGAGATTTACAACCTTACACTTGCTCAGAATTAGTGACCATGGGCAAACTCAGTTGTGTAGGTGAAACAAACTTGACACATTTTTCCAATTTTAGTATATGTGCTGCCGAGGCAAACACTCAACGCATTTTCCAGATCTTGGTTATCCAGGTGAACTGAAATGTGCTTCCTGGGCAGGTGTGGGATCAGCAGGCATTGCCTGTTCTCATTTTAGACAAAAGGCTGTTCAGAACAGCCTGTTATTCTCCCATCTGCTCCACTGATTCTTCCAGGCTAACACAGTAATCAAACAAGTCTTCCTGCTTTCCTCAGCAGAAACAAATCAACTTAAGAGCCCCCTTGGCAATGAACTGTTTTTGCTCTACAAGCGAGGTTCCAGTCAGGTTTGTCATTCTGACAGCTGGCATGAATAGAAATCCTTAGAGAACTGTATTATAAAGCACCATTCTCTTTTTAAGCTGATCTTAAAAAATATATGCATATATAAATGTACACCCCACACTCCTGGTATGCTACTGAAATACTTTAATACTTGGTTAATAAAACATTCATTCACATTTATCAAAACAAAACAAAACAAGTGGTTCCGTTAAAAACACAACCATTTGGAATTATGAATCAAGTCATTTTCCTTCTACACTCACCCACTGAGTGCACTCCCCGGGCAACCACTCCAGTGTCGTGTCCTACATTTTCCCCAGACTATTTCTTCTCCCATGTGACATAAAAAGGAAATGAATGCAGTTTTCCCATCAAGAACAGCTGTTTCTTTGAAAACAGGATAAATATCATTGGCCTGGGGTCTCACTCCTTGGCTCTGCGATACAAGCCCAGCTTGGAGATGAGCAGGCAGACGGGGTGGTTTGGTGCCCCCTACAGGATGCACTCGAGGAGCTTCCATTCGTTTGTGGAAGAAGGCATGGTGAGTCCTGGGATTCTGAAAAGAAATGAAGCAAATTAATGGCGAAATAAACTGGGAATGGGGGGGGGGGGTGTTGCTTCAAAATTCAAAACACCCCAAGGTCCTGAGTTCGATCCCCAGTACCAAAAATCTAGAGAAACCACCAGCCTTCTGTTTTGGGCCAGGGATTTAGCTCAGTGGTTTCACCACCTGCTGCACAAGCGCAAGGACCTGAGTTCGATCCCTGGTACCAAAAACAAAAAAAAAATTTCAAAACACCACAGCACTTAGAACATGGAAAAATGGACACTGTATATTAGGTAAAAGCAGGATGCAGTAAACACTAAGAACAGCAATCCCCAACACCAAAAATAAAAAATAATAAATAACTAAAAATAAGATTCATTATAGCAAAAAGTTAAACTTGGTTTATGTAGGTAGTGATATTATGAGTAGTTTGTATTTTATCTCTATCATCACTGAAACTTTGCAATAAATATTATTCTAGTAATACAATATTAGTTTGAAAGTGTGCTAAAAAGTGGTTAATTTGGCCGGGGATGTAGTTCAGTGGCACACTGCCGGCCTGGCAAGCTCGAGGCCCTGAGTTTGATTCCTGGTACCCCCCAAAAAAGTGGTTGTGAGCTGGGTGTGGTGGCAGGTGGTTTTAATTCCAGCGGCTTGGGAGGCTGAGGCAGGAGGATCACAAGTTTGAGGCCAGCTCAGGCAATTTAGTAAGATCCTGTCTCAAAAATAAAATATTTCTTAGCCAGGCATGGTGGCACATGCCTGTAATCCCTACACTCAGGAGAATAAGGCAGGAGGAACACTATGAGTTCAAGCCCAGACTGGACTACATATTTTGGACTGCACCAAGAAAATTTTTTTTAATTTTTAAAAAGGGATAGGAAAGTAGAATAGTACCAGACTATGGATTCAATTCCCAGTAATGCAAAACAAACAAACAAAAAACAACTAATAAACTAATTAAAACCAAGCCAAAAAAAACCCCCTAAACATACAAAGTCATGGCAATCCAATTAAAAAATGGGCAAAGAAGGTAAGTGTGGTAGCTCATGATTGTAATCCCAGCACTCTAGGAAGCTGAGGCAGGAGGATCAAAAATTCAAGCCCAGCCTGAGCAATTTAGCAAGACCCTGTTTCAAACATAAAAAATAAGAAAAAGCCTGGGGATATAGCTCAGTGCAAATGCCCTGAGTTCAATGGCCAGTACTGAAAAGAAAAGAAAAGGGGGGGGGAAGAAGAGGAAGAGGAGGGAGAACCTAGGATTATCTGTATCTTCTCAGCGCACCATGCTCCTCTCAGTTGAATGGGAACCGGAATCTGCTATCTAGGAAGGCATTTATTTACTTTCAGCAGCCGGATTCTCGGGAAGGCCCGTTTCTGGCTTGGGAACATCATGTCGGGGGTCAGTGAGGGTCTATTAAAGGCAGCAACTCTCCGCAGCGAGAACTCAGCTTCAGACAGGCCAAGTCGTCCGAGCGTGTGCGCCCGATGTTCAGGATGGCGATCGGTATCTTCTGGTCCCGGGCAGTGAGGACGAATCTGTACCCCGAGTACACCTGCCCAGAGAGGAGACACAGTGAGCGCTCTCCAGATCCAACAGGAGGGAGCCTCCTGAAACCTGCTCACCCTACCGAGGAGCGTTTACCACCCCACACCAGATACCTGCAAGGAGGATCCCACCACCAGCAGGGCGTCGGCTTCTTTCACGCGCTTGTGCACAAAATCAACCTTGGCAGGATCCACCGTGTCCCCGAAGAAGACGACGTCTGGTTTCAGAGGGCCTCCACATCGAAGGCAGGACGGGACCTGAAAAGTGCGTACCTGTTCGTCCGAGAGAAAGACGTCGCCGTCGGGAGCCAGGCCCTGGGCCTCCGCGCCCCAGGTGGGGTTCAGGACTTGGAAGCGCTGCTGCAGCGCCCCCCGCGGGGTCTGCGCACCGCAGCTCAGGCAGAGCACCCTGAAAGCCGACACAGGCCCGCTGAGCAGGGTGTCCTCGCTCGGGAGGCGCAGGGCTGCCGGGGCCCTGTGCCCTAGCATCGGCAGCCCTGCTGGCATTTCTTTTCCTAACACCACATTCCCCCGTCGTTTTAGGGGAAATCATGCATCTTTTCGCATGATCCGTTTCTCACCTTCTTTCTACTATCATTCTAAAGCAAGGAAGGTATATCTGTTTCCTCACTGCTTAGCCTTCAGATAACTTTTTAATTGTGGTATTGGGGATAGAACCCAGGACCTTCACACTGAGCTATGTACATCCCAGCCTTTATTTTAAATATTGTTTTGAGGGGCTGGGGATTTAGCTCAGTGGTTCTGGCGCCTGACTCCCAAGCGTAAGGTCCCAAGTTCCACCCCCGGTACCAAATATATTGTTTTGAGGCAGTGTCTCCCTTAATTGCCCAGGCTGAACTCCAGTTTGCAATCCTTCTGCCTCAGCTTCCCATCATGCAGGGATTACAGGTGTGTACCACCATGCTCAGCTGACTTTTGAATTTAATAAAGAAGTGGCAATAATTTGTATATATACTAATTCAAAATAATTTTACAAGCACCGAGTAGAACTGTTTCCAATCTTTTCACCAAGAACACCTACCTCTCTTACTGAAAGACCACTCACTTTTATCCATAGTACTGAAAGTAAGCTCGGCATGGTGGCACATATCTGTAATCCTAGCACTTGAGAGGCTGGGGTGGGAGGATCCCAGCAAGTTCAAGCCCAGCCTTGCTACAGTGACTTCAAGGCCAACCTGAACTACATAAGAAGACCCTGTTTCAAAAAACAAAACAAGGGCTGGGGATTTAGCTCAGTAGTTCCACCCCCTGCCTTGAAAGCACAAGGTCCTGAGCTCGATCCCCAGTACCCCCCCCAAAATAAATAAATAAAAAGACAAGGCATGAGGGTGGGAACTGTGGCTCATTAGAGTGCTTGCCTAGCATGTGTGAGGTCCTCAGTTTGAACCTGAGAACCTCCCCCCAAAAAAGTCCCCTATGAAATGAAAAAAAGTTTTAGATTATTTTGGTACCAGGGATCGAACTCAGGACCTTGAGCTTACAAGGCAGGAGTGGCACCACTAAGCTAAATCCCCAGCCCTGAGAGTTGTTTTTAAATGTTAGAAATAGAGTAGATGGGCATGGTGGCACACAATGTAATCCCAGCACTTGGGGCTGTGAAAAGAGGCTGGAGTTGGAGGGCAGCCTGGGCTACAGAATAAGACCTGTCTCAAAAACAAAAAACTGGGGGCTGGGGATGTAGCTCAGTGGCACTGGGCCTGCCTGGCAGGCCCAGGTCCTGAGTTTGATCCCCAGTATCAAAACAAAAGAAAAACAAAAAACTGAGCTGGGGATTTAGCTCAGTGGTGCTGAGCCTGCCTCAAAAGTGCAAAGTTCTGAGTTTGATCCCCAGTACTGGGGAAAAAAATGAACATGGTGGTGCACACCTGTAATCCCAGCACTCTGGGAGGCTGAGGCAGGAGGATCATAAATTCTAGCCCAGCCTGAGCAATTTAAAAACTAAAAATAGGGATGGGTGGCTCAAAACTGAAAAATGGGGGGGGGGGTGACTAAGTGCAAAGGCTCTGGGTTCAATCCCTAGTACTGAAAAAAAAATTTAATAAAAACAAAAACAACAAAAAAAGATAGAGAAGGGATAAAGAAAACTTGATAAAATCCATGAATGGGGGCCGGGGATTTAGCTCAGTGGTTTTGTCACCTGCTGCACAAGCGCAAGGACCTGAGTTCGAACCCTAGTACCAAAACAAAAACAAAAACAAAAAAAAATCCATGAATTGGATGATGGTATATGGGAATTCATTATACAACGTCTCTTTTTTTTTTTTTTTTGGTACTGGGGATTGAACTGGGGTCCTTGTGCTTGCAAGACAGGCAGCAGAACCACTGAACTAAATCCCCAGCCCTACAACATCTCTTTACTTTTGCAAATATTTGAAATTTTCATGGTGAGAAAAAGTTGTATTTTATTTTTTATTTTATTTTTATTTTTTTGGTACCAGGGATCAAACTCGGGACCCTGCACTTGCAAGGCAGGTGCCAGAACCACTGAGCTAAATCCCCGGCCCTGTATTGTATTTTTAAATCAAGCTATGGGCATCATTAACCCTAATTCCCCCAGGACCACCTTAGTCCGGGTCCCTCAGGCTGATCTCTTTGACCCTTTCTTTCTAATCAAGTCTAGACTTCCTCCAATCTATTTTTATCATGTTGCTGTCTTACTCAGAAACTACTAACAGGCCCCTTTGTGTCTCACAACAGACCTAAACTGCACTGCCTGATTGTCAAATGCATCTGGATGTGGGTCCCTCCCTCTCACACAATCTGATTTCACACTAGTCGCATCCCAAACCCTCCCTGGAGATTAGGCAGACTCCCCCGGGGGCTACAAATGTCCTTCATTAGGGAGCCACTCTTTCCTCCCCGTCTAGTGAAACTCAAACTGGTCTCAGGCCCCACCTTAACCATAAAGCAGTCATCCCCATCTTGACTAAGTCTGTTCTTTTTTCTTTTTCTTTTTTTGGTACTGGGGATCGAACTTGGATCCTTGCGCTTTGGGGGCAGGCGGTGGAACCACTGAGCTAAATCCCCATCCCCAAGTCTGTTTCTTTAAGTGTGCAGTCATCTATATCAAAGGACTGCACAGCCAGGCACAGTGACACAAGCCTGTAATCCCAGCACTCTGAGAGGCTGAGATAGGATTGAATTGGAGCCTAGCCTGGGTAACTCAACGACTTAATAAGACCCCATATCAAAATTTTAAAAATAAATAAAATAAAAAGAGATGGGGTTTGTAGCTCAGTGCTAAGCCCCTGGGTTCAATCCCCAGTACGAAAATAAACATAAAAAGGACCACACAGGTAATAATCATGTTTTGTAACGGTTTTGGTTTGGTTTTTTGAGACAAGGTCTCACTATGTAGTTCAGGCTGGCCTTGAACTCACTATGGAGCCCAGGCTGGCCTCCGACTCACAGTGATCTTCCTGCTTCAGCCTCCTCCCCCTATATACATCCCTACTCCTTCCTGAGTTTAGTAGGAACCACTCCAAAACGACTTGTTGGGCCAGGGATTTGGCTCACTGGTTTCGCCGCCTGCTGCGCAAGCACAAAGACCCTAGTTCGATCCCTGGTACCAAAAAAAGCCCCCCCAAAACCAAAAAAACCCGACTTGTTCTCATATCCTTTTCTCATGGTGCGACTCAGAAAACGTGATCAAGACAGCCAGGGTCGCTGCTCTCAGGAAACTGGACCATTTTGCGATCAGCCCGTCCCTTCCCGCACCTGTGCATGCATCCGTGGAGCTCAGTGAGCCGCTGACTCCCAGCCTTGGTGTGGAGAGAGTCCACATTTTGAGTCACCAACCAATGCAGCTTCCCAAGTCTCTCCCAGGTGCTCAGAGCCCAGTGTGCCGGGTTGGGCTGGTGGGAGGAGAACTGAGGCCAGCCCACGAAGTTCCGCGCCCAGTACCGCTGGCGAATCGGGGCGCTGCGGAGGAAATCGCTGTGCTGGATGGGCCTCCGGGCGTTGCGGGCATAAAGTCCCACCTTTTCGGACCTGTAGTCGGGGATCCCGGACTCCGTTGAGATTCCCGCCCCGGTCATCACTAGGAGTTTCTTGGAAAGGGTGATGAAGCGCTGGAACTCTCTGACTTTCTCAGGACTCAAAGGTGGACATGGTGGCACAAATAACCCACTGGATCCGCGAGAGCACTGCTGGCTGAGGTTCGTGACCCAAAGGCTTTTTGTTGACCTGAAACTCAGCCTATAGTTCATCCTCATTCTAGACAGAAAGAAACCTCATGTGACAATCTGTATTCTGCAAGCAAAGGTAACCACCGACTAATGAGTGGCTACACAAAATGTGGTCTATACAGAGGATGGAATACCATTCAGCTATAGAAAAGATCTATGCCAGGCATAATGGTGCACACCTGTAGTCAGTCCCAGCACTCAGGAGGCTGAGACGAGAGGATCACCATGAGTTTGAGGCCAGCCTGGGCTGCATAGTGAATTCAAGGTCAGCTTGAACTACAAAGAGTACAAAGCGAGACCCTGTCTCAAATAAATAAATACATACATACATACATAAAATAATATGTGGGGGGGCCAGGGATTTAGCTCAGTGGTTCCGCTGCTTGCCTTGCAAGCACAAGGACCCGAGTTCGATCCCTGGTACCAAAAATAATAATAATAATAATAATAATAATAATAATATGTGGGAATGAAGTACATAGGGATATATAAAGGAAACAGACCAGAATTATGCTTATCTTTGGAGAGGATGTTGGGCTTTAACCCAGGGCCTCACACACGCAAGGACCCGAGTTCGACCAAAAATAATAATAATAATAATAATAATAATAATAATAATAATAATATGTGGGAATGAAGTACATAGGGATATATAAAGGAAACAGACCAGAATTATGCTTATCTTTGGAGAGGATGTTGGGCTTTAACCCAGGGCCTCACACACGCTAGGGACTCATTCTACCACTGAGCTATACCTTCAGCCTGAGAATTAATAAATTCTGAAGTTGGGTGATGATCCATGGGTGGGAGTTTGTTACAGTACTCTGTCTGCACAATAAAAATAATTCTTTAAAAAAAATTCTTGCTGGGCCAGGGATTTAGCTCAGTGGTGCCTCTCCTGCCTTGCAAGCACAAGGTCCTGAGTTTGATCCCTGATACTGAAAAAATAAATAAACAAACAATTCTTTCTATGGCGGGGTGCACACCTGTAATCCTAGCACTGAGGAATCTGAGACAGGAGGATCACAATGGGTTTAAGGCCAGCCTGGGATACATAGTGGGACTCTCTGTCTCAAAAGAAAAAATTTAGCAACTTACCAAGACCCTCTCAAAATAAAAAATAAAAAAGGTAGGGATGTAGCTCAGTACAAAGGCCCTGGGTTCAAGCAAAAACAAAACAACAACAACAGGGCCAGGGATGTATGTAGCTCAGGGGCTTTGCCTGCTAGGCAAGCATAGGGCCCTGGTACAAAACCAAAACCAAAACAAAATAAACAACAACAACAACAAAAACCCAAGCAAGCAAGAAAGAAAAAGAAAAGCTTGAGTAGCATCCTTATCTCCCCTAAATAGTCTACCCTAAATTGCATTTTGGAGCTGTTTATTGGTGATACTTCTTTTTTTTACTTTTCCTTCAAACCATGGCCTTGAAAATGGTGAACTACACTAACAGCCTCAACTGATGAAATGTCAAGACCTCTCCAGGTCATGTCTGAAAACTGCCAACCTAAAAAGTAACACTCAGGGGGCTGGGGATTTAGCTCAGTGGTTCCGGCTCCTGCTGTACAAGTGCAAGGTCCTGAGTTCGATCCCCAGTACCAAAAAAAAAAAGTAAGACTCAATAAACTTTTACCCTGAAATATTATGAGAAGAGTGATGAGAGCCAACAGCATCAAGACACTGAGAAATAGCTGGGGAGCAGGAATTCCCTGGAGATGCATACAGTGTTGCTTTATGGAAGATAAAATAGGAATTAGAAGAATGTATTAGAGAGAAGCACAGAGTTTATGTAATTTAAGAAAGCCCCTATCCAGATTCTATGCTTATCAGAACAACCTACTTGTAATTAATGGGTCCAAAAGAAACAAACATTTTACAGCCTCTTCCCCCTCCTCATCCTTCCCCACTGCCCCACTGCACCTGTAGTATTTTGTTGTTATTGTTTCATTTTTTGGTGCTGAGGACTAAACTGATGGCCTCATGCATGCTAAGAAAGTGGTCTACCACAGATCTATACTCCTGGCCCTGCAATGTATGTACCCTGTATTATAAAGTGTATTTTTTTTTTGGTATTGGGGATCGAACTTGAGTCCTTGCGCTTGTTGGGCAGGCATCGGAACCGCTGAGCTAAATCCCCGGCCCTAAAAAGTGTATTTGACCTTTTAATCCCAGTCAATCTTGTGTGAAATTTGGAAGGGTTCGAGCTAGACCAGAATCTGATAACTCAAGAATATATTTAACACTGGCTTCCAGGTTTATGGAAAAAATGGGACCCTGCCAGGCATGCGCTGGTAAACTGGCTTTCCCCCTTCACCTCCCCACTCCACCCCACAAGAAAGGAAAAGAAAATCTCATCATGGCCAACTTCTGGCTACTAATAATTTAACAATTGGCTAGCAAATTCTTGAATGTTTACTGGCTGGCCTTCCAAGGTATAAAGTGATCCCAGTACACCTGCATGGGTCCTAGCAGTCCAACCTGAAACCAGAAGCCTATCTTTTTCCTTATCTTTTCAACAATTTTTACCTTGTCAAGAATCTCTAATACCTTCCACAAAATAAAAATCATGTTTACACACTAGACTATTTCATAACAGTCTAAGCCAATCTTATTATCTCCCTGGTCTCTTAAGAACCTAAGCCAGAATTGTATTTATGCTATAGCCCTCAAATGAAAATTAACTTCAAATGGCTGGTGAATGAACCTGTGCATTTTGGCTTATTAAAAAAAAAAAAGTAATGATGGGCCAGGGATTTAGCTCAGTGGCACTGTGCCTGCCTTGCAAGTGCAAGGTCCTGAATTCAATCCCTGATACCAAAAAAAAAAAAAGAAAAAAAGTAATGGATGGAGGGACAAACAATTGGTAAGGAGGATTCTAACATAAGACCTGCTGGGCATGGTGGCACACACCTGTAATGCCAGCTACTTGGGAAGCTGAGGCATGAAGATCTCAAATTCAAGGCCAGCCTAAGCAATTTAGTGAGGCCGTTTCTCAAAATAAAAAGGGCTACTACTGGCTGTAGTGGTGCACACCTGCAATCCCAGCACTTGGAGGCTGAGCCAGGAGGATTATTTGAAGTTCAAGGCCAGACTGGACTACACAATGAGCTCAAAGCCAGCCTGAACTACATAGTGAGACGCTGCCTCAAAAGACCCAAAAAATAAAAATATAAAGGGCTAAGAATGTAGCTCAGTGGGAAAGAAAGAAAGGAAGGAAGGAAGGAAGGAAGAAAGAAAGAAGGAAGGAAGGAAAGAAAGAAAGAGAGAGAGGGAGAAAGAGAGAAAGAGAGAGAAAAAAAGAAAGACCTATTTCATCATTCCCAGGAACACCAGGCTGATCAAAACTGAGTTCCTTATAAACTTTAAAATATCAGCCAGGTGTGGTGGTGCAAGCCTGCAGTTCCAGCACTTGAGAGGCTGAGCAGGAGGCTTGCTACGAGACCAGCCTGGGCTACATAGTAAGTTTGAGGCCAGCATGAACTACATAGCAAGACCCTGTCTCAAAAATAAATAAGTAGGGCCAGAGATTTAGCTCAGTGGTGCCCCCACCTGCCTCGCAAGCGCAAGTCCCAAGTTGGATCCCCGGTACAAAATAGAAAGAAAGAAAGAAAGAAAGAAAGAAAGAAAGAAAGAAAGAAAGAAAGAAAGAAAGAAAGAAAGAAAGAAAGAAAGAAAGAAAGAAA